TTAAATTAAGGGAACTCATGGAACATGTCCTGAATTTTGATGGACAAAACATTTCCGTTACACAGTTTACTAGGGCGTGTCGACGCGCATTTGAATCTTTGCCRGCGAATTTTTCAACCGAAATGAAAACATCTTTAACAAGGCTTCTCCTTTCTAGGCTTAGTGGTCACGCGTATTTAGTAACTGAGGGTATTAGAATTAGTAAAGTAGAACACCTTATAGAGAGATTGAAAGACGCGTTTCTGCCTTCACGCGGATGCAACTATTATAGGGGACAACTCGCTACGGAGTTTATTAGGCCGGGCGAACACATACTCGATTATATCAGTAGAATAAAAGAGCTCACTCAATCGGTTCTTGATGAAACTACGAAAAGCTCAGTGCATGTAGAACACCGGGTCGAATTAGCAATTGAAAGAGAGGGGAATTGATGCGCTCGTTAGGGGCCTACCTCGTGATTATAAGACAGCCTTAAAATTCGAATATTATAGTAACTTCGACGAGATTTTAGTCTGCCTCCTGAAAATAGACAAGCAAATAAGGAAGGAAGATAGTAAGATGAGCATTTTAAGGTTTGACAGGCAAATTAAAGACGATAAAAAAAGAAACTCCTCTCCTACATTTGGAAGCCGCGTGGCTAATATTCGCCAAATTAAAGAAAACATAGTTTGCGAGCACTGTCACAAACCTGGACATAAGGGGGGTGACTGTTTTAGGAAAGCGGTATGCGACTACTGTCAAAAACAGGGCCACACGGAGGGTAAATGTTTTAAAAGGAGGCAAGATAATTCAAATAAATCTGGTCGAACCTCTCCAAATAATTCAAAATCTCAAACAAAAACGGGATATAAAAGTCCGAAAAAATGTTCCTATTGTAAGAACTTAGGACATATAATATTTGACTGTCTAAAGTTAAAGTACCAATTGGAAAAAAGGAGTCAGGGAAACGGGGTGAGGGGAACGATGAACGACGCTCGTCGCTCTCCGTCACCAAAACAGCGTCCACAAAGTCCGAATCCGTAAGCGGGCCCGTCGAAGTCAAACACATAAGACAAAATAATATTTGGACGGCTCCGTGTGTCACTGCGGCTTCTCCACGATTGGAAGAAGYGGTGACACTTATGATAGACACAGGCGCGGACATTAATTTGATAAGAATGAAAAAACTAGCTAAAAAGACAATTGTTAACACAAAAAGAATAGTGCAGCTAACGGGTATCTCTCTCGACACACAAAGGACATTGGGTACTGTCGAACTAATTATTTTCGGAGAGAGGACTACATTTCACGTGGTAGACAACCACTTCCCTATCTCTGCGGATGGAATATTGGGAAATGAGTTCCTTCGTTCCACTCCAGCAAATATTAACTATATCAGAGAAGTGCTTATAGTGGGAAATAGGAGGGTTCCATTTACGGTTGGCGACAAAGTTAGTGTTCCACCTAGAACTTCAAAGGTGATTTTTTGCCACGTTGTGAACGCCGATGTTAAATAC